CTTTCCCTGGCACCTTGTGTCCCTGGTTGCACAGCTCTGAACCCAGTGAGGAATCAGCTTCTCATGGAATGACACAGGCTCTACCCAGTCCTCATGCCTGCTCTCTAGGCAAGTTTCAGCTCAGTCTCCCCTGGCTGGGGCTAAGCCTCTGACCCCTCTCTCCAGGGCTGGGGTTGGTGGCTCCCAAGCTTCTCCTCTTCTTTTCCCTCCCTCAGCTTTTTTTGGCTTAGTAGCAGCCAATCAGAGTCCCAGGTTTGCAATGTGGGCTCTGGACACAATTCAAATGCTCCAAGAAAAAGCATGCAGCTGCACTGCATACTCAGCTGTCTGGTAAAGCTTATGCACTCTTTGCAAAGTTGCCGCCCTTTTCTTGCAGGGTCCTTAAACACAGCTCACCCACTCCGCTTGCAGTCAGGCAAGCTTTGCACCTGTTACATGTGGATGCCTCAAAAGATAGGTAAAGGCTTACGAGGTGCAACTGGTGCACCTATGTTTCCACTCCCCAGGACCCTCCAATGTGGCATCCACCAATACGCAGCCCAAAGCCATTGTTATCTCTGAGCTGACTGGGGCAGGCTCCATTTCACAGGAAACCTGATGCATGTGACTAGATTGCTGTGTATCTGGGAGGTGACACTGGACAACTAAAATATTCTAAGACTGGGGAAAAACAAACACAAACCCTGTCCTCGTCCTGATTCCACACCTGTTCCAGCACCTCCGTATTTCTTTTATGCAGTGTGACACACAGTAGGGAAATGTAAAAGTTAAATGAGTTAAACAAGAAATGTTTTTTATGACTTGGTGGTCCATCTGCTTGGCTGACTCTCAGCTACACCAGCGCTTCAGTCTCCTCTACCTTTCCTGTGTCGCTTGGTTACCAAGGCTCCGAGAAGAAAATGTGCTGATAAGCAGGTCAACACGTGGCACACAGGAGGTGACATCCCATAATGGGCATAATTACCCTTAATCAGAGTGCCTCACTGAGCAGGCAGCCCGTGTCTACTTATTTATGCTATCCTTTCCAGTGAGATGAGGAACATTGCTTTATGATTTTGAGCTCATGCCATGAAGTGTATGATTTCCTGAACTAATGCTGCTTTTTACAACAAAGCCCAGTGCTGGTACATTACATCCACAGAAACAATCCACATAAGTGACCTTGAGAGATGTTGCATTCATTTTTCTTTCTGCATATTTTTGTGATGGATTTAATGTTCAATAAAACTGAAAGAAAAACAGCATTTGAAACCCAAGCAATTTGTACAGGTGCCAGATGCTGCAGAAAGGGTTCAAGTCTGATTTCTGCACTTTGTTCAATCCATTCATATCAAGACTGATGTAGTGGCTCCATCCTTCTTCCTCTGGGCTGAGAAGTGGAATTATTTTTCACAAGTTTCTTTTCTTACAAGGGTTTCAGTGAAGCATAAAAGGCAAGTCCCAAGTAGAATAAACAAAGCCACATATTTGCTGCTTAGTCTGTTTTTTTATTTTCAGATATATCTATTTTTTAATTACTGCAGTTAGAACAGCAAGAGTTGATTAAGATTAATGCTGATTAAATACCAAGAAATGGACAGGCTTCGGTGGTAATGTTTCAAAATGGCATCAGTTATCACTAATGTTAAAAATCTGAGGTGGATATTGTGAGAACAAATCCCTCTAATGGCCACAGTTCAGCAAAGCACAAAGAGCATGCTTAACTTCTGAAGTTTGCGGGGCTTTTAATCACACTGTCATATGGGTTCACATGTCAATGTCTACACTGCAGACCTATGGCTCCTGTTTGCCTACTGAAAATGTTACACATATTTGGGTTTCATCTTTAGAACAACAGCAACATGGCCAAAGAAACCTCAAATAGCATGGGCTAAAAAGAGAAAGAAGCCACAAACATTTTGTGATGCTATCTCTAAACCTAGCCTCATCAATATAAGCTAGCCAAGCTAAAATACCCCAAACGTTCCTCAGAATACTTCAGTGTTCCAGAATGCAGCAATTGGCTCTGGAAAAGGGTTTAGGGGAAAATCTATTTTGCAGGGATGAACATACAATCAGTAGGTGCAGCATAAAATAGAGGGAAATACATGTAAGAAATCTTGCTATCTAAGCCATACAAGAGGACTTTAACCTGAAATCTGCATATGTCTGATATTTTCTGAATCCATTTACAGACTTTGGCAACTCACCAAGGAATTTAATTTCTTGAAAAATATCTTCGTAATTCTACTCATAAATGGGTAAAATAAAGGTGGCTCCTTTCTCCTATGTCCCCGAACACACAGACATGACTGTTCAGAGTATGGTATCTTGAGGCAGGAATAACAAAGCCAGTGTCATGATACATCTGGATGAAATGCAGCAAGATATCCCAAAAGTAAGGCTGCCACCTGCCTCCAGTGTCCTCTACAAACCTGCCAGCTCTGTGATCCCAATGCACCTCTGACAGCAACAAAAGTAAAAACTGATTATTTCAGTCACATGTGAGCAAAATTTAGGACAAAGATGGAATGGGTGCACAGGACCCAGCATGGAGGCTAGTATCTAACACAAGGGTTGATTTGGCCTGTGATATGTCCTGCTCATATAAATTCAATATAAAACAGTAAAAATCAGCGATGTAAAGCTCTCCCATACATTTGGCTCTGAGCCCCTGCTCAAAACTCCAGTCAAATAAGATGAAATTCTAGAGACACAGAAAAGAGGGCAGGGGAAGAAAGGGACATAGTGATGAAAATAGTGGAAATATGGCATGGGTGACTGGTGCCTCTTGAGTTAGGGTGGGCACATGTCCCCCCTGACACCAGTCAGCGACTGGGGGGGTCCCTTGGCAGCTGATTCCACTGACCGGGGGACGGGGTCCCCTGGCAGCCAATCCCACTCACCTAAAAGTCCCTCAGCCACTTCCAGAAGCGGTGTGGTCGCTTTTGCTGGAGGCCCCGCTCCCTGGCTGGCATTCACAGAAGGGGCACTGGTGCTCCTGCCTGTCCCCCTGCCCCCCGGCTAAACGGGGAGTGTGGCCTGACAGGGGATGCACCAGCGCTCTCAGGGGGTGCATGTGTAACCCCATATGCATCACCACCCCCTATGCATCACCACTGAAACATGGAAAGGGCCTTTCCAGAGTGAACAGCCTCCAATTCTCCTCACTGACTTGGGCACCCTGACTCAGTAAGGCATCCAGTACCCTCAGGATACAGGCTCCAGCTGTCAGTTCCTTTGTTTTACATTACAGCCATAGGCCGAGGTATAAAGTGACCCCTGCTCATGTGTCCATTGTGCATTTCTTGGTCCTAAAGGTCAAACAATTACAAACAAAGGAAAAGCCTACTACCTTCATTTTTTGCCATTCCCACCTCTGAAGCAAGTCCTGGTCCTCTCCTGTTCCTCAGCATGGTGCTCTAAAATTTTTAAAGAGCCAACCTTCTATTAAAGGATTATACACCAGAGTCACAATTAGTTATTAACAATTTGACATTTGATACAATCATTTAATCAGGAACAAAACATGTAATTCCTGAAATGATTTTCATAGCAGTTGAATGAGTTGGGACTCAGTTACTTATTAGTAGATTAAAATACAACTTGCTAAGAAGAGAAAGACACAATTTTAAACACCTTTGAAACATGTAAAAAATAAATAAGCAGAACTTTTCTGAGGTGCTTGTGGGCGCATCTACACCTGCATTAAGGCACTTTTTCTAATGTGCATTAAATTTAGTACCTCCAGTGTCATGTACTAAACAAATGCACATTAGGCTGCCTTAATGTGCAGTAGCAAATTTGTATGGTTTTTAAGTGATGCTTAATGTGCAGTAGCTTATTTTACTGTGCATTAGGATAACTGCATGGTTTTTTTACATGACGCTTTAATGCACAGTAAAATAGGTTACTGCACATTAAAGTGTCCATGTAGATGCATCCTGTGTGAATTTCAAGTTTCAGTCTGTTTTCTACAGGGCAGGTTAAGAGCCTGGAAAAACAGCAAGGAAGTTAGGGCTGTGCAAAGCTTTGGTTCCTGATTTGATTCAGCGGAGATTTGGTCTGATTTGGTGGCCGAATCTCCAAATCCAAAATGAATCAGAGGACCTTTAATCTCTCCAAATTGAATTGGAACTCTCTGAATCGATTCAGAGAGATTTGGAGATTTGGACATAGAGACAGTTTTAAATGTTTTTTCTTCATACCATTAGGTAGCAGGGGCTCATGAATGCTGTGATACTGGGGCGCATGGAACGTTCCACAGGAGCATGGGGGGCTCCCTAGTATGCCTGGCAGCAGACCTGGAAGTGGACCAGAAGGATGTCTGGTCCACTTCTGGGTCCACCGGGAAGCATGTGGGGGGCCCCCCGCATCCCCCCAGCTCGGTGACTGGTGCCTCCTGGGTCTGGGGGGCGGGGGACACCCAGGGTTCCCCCATGGCTGATTGCTAAGCCAGAGAATCCCCTGTGCACTCCCCAGCTGACTCAAAAGTGGACTGGAAGTACTTCTGCTCCACTTCTGGGTTCACCAACGAGCACATGGAGGGGCCCCCTGCACTCCTGTTTGACACTCCATACACTCCAGCATTGCAGTGTTCATGAGCTGTGCCTGCTACCTGAAGGTATGTAGAAAAAACTTTTAAAGCTTCAGATTCTGAATGGGACAAATCAAATCAGGGACATTGATCTGAATCAATGAAGCGAATCTCTGTCCCTGATTTGGGCTGAATCTGAATTGAATTGGGACCGCTTTGCACACTCCTAATGGAAATGTGTTTGTGATAGCCTCTTTTAGTGCACAGTAGTGCTGAGCAAAACAGCACTGTTTCATGTCATCTTCCATTTTGCCACTTCAAAGGGACAGTGTTTCATGTCACTGTTTCAAAGCACTGTTCCATTTTGTTTCGTCGAAACTGTTTCGCTGTTGTTTCAACACGTTTCAACGTTTTGCTGATAGGCTATAATGGGGAATCATGAAAATGCCTATAACTTTGTCATTTCTTGCCTGATTCAAATGAAAATTGAATGGATGGTAGTCCCTTCTGAGGACCTGAAGCCTGCCAAGTTTCAAGGAGATAGGTATAGGGGTTTCTGGGAAACTGCACCTCAAACAGTTCAAACCAAAACATCACTTGCTGGCAGCGGCAGCCTGCTGTCATCCTGTGGGAGATCTGGGGACCCGCACCCCCTGGGAAGGCTGAGGGGCTGTGCTGGACTCTTCCTGGGAGCCACAGGCCTCTGGATCTGTGCACAGGATGACAGCAGGCTGCCGCTGCTGGCTGCCTCCAGTGCTCATCACAGCCCGCACCAAGCGCCAGGAAGACTGGTGCTGCCACTGGCCCCAGCTGGCAACAGCAGCCTGCTGTCATCCCACATGCAGATCTGGAGGCTTGTGCCCCCTCGGAGGGCTCTGGGGCTCTGCTGGACTCTTCTTGGGGGGCACACTGGATGACAGCAGGCTGCCACGGCCAGCTGAGGCCTGCACCAGAACTGGGTTCTTCCCAGCACTCGGCGTGGGCTGCAATGGGCAGATGGGTGCTGACGCTGGCCCATGCCCCCCAGATCTGGGGGCCCATGCCCCCCAGGAGGAGTCTGGCATAGCCCCACAGCCCTCCCAGGGGGCATGGGCCCCCAGATCTGCATGCAGGTTTTCAGCAGGCTGCTGCTGCCAGCTGAGGAAATAGCCCAGAGCCATTGCCATCACCAGGGACCTGAACATTCCCCCAGCTCCTGGTTTAATTCCCCAGCCCTCCCCGTATTGGATTCCCCCAGTTCTCTGATCACTTCCCCCAGCTCTCTGATCATTTCCCCAGCTCTTCCCAGGGGATGTGGGCCCCTGGATCTGTGTGCTGG